TCTCCTTAAGATAGAATATTCAAGGTAGAAAACATTTAAGCTGAATTCTGAGTGATGACAAAGAACTAGTCATTCCTTGAGGCAGGAAGAAGCTTGGCACATTACAGGACAGAATGAAAGATGGTGTGTCTAGGCATGGTAAATGTGGGAGGAGGGTGAAAGGTGAAGTCTGAGAGGTAGGCAAGGCCCAGATCATGTTGAATCTCTTAGGTTATGACAAGGGGTTTACGTTTCATTATGAAGGAATGGGAAGGCAATGTAAATTTTTAAGTAAGGATGTGGTATGATGTGACCATCAATTCTCTATGCAACAGCCTCTGCATAGAGAATTGACAATAGGAATGCAAGATATTAGGAAGCTTATACAGGTGTCCAGAGAAGAGATATTAGTGGTTTGGAGTGGGCCTTAACAATATAGATGATGAGAAGTCATTGAATTTGGGATGTATTTTGAAGTAGACATGACTAGATTGGGTTTGGAAGATGGAGGAGAAAAAGACAACTTCTAGTTGTTGGCTAGCAAATAGGTGTATTTTGGAAACCTTAACTGAGCTAAAGGAGACTTGGAAAGCAGTGGAAAATAATCACTTTGTTTTGAACAAGTTAAGTTTGCATTGTTAATAGAAAATGAAGACATGGAGGAGGCAGTAGGATCTTGCTCTGAGCTCAAAAAAGAGATCAAGGCTGGAAATACAAATTGGGCACCATTAGCATGGAGATGATCATGGTACTGGATAAAATCATGCAAGGAGAGTGCAAACAGAAAAGAAGAGGGCTCAGGACAAAGCCCTGGACACTCAGCATTTAGAATAAGACTGAGGAAAAGGAGTCTGTGAAGTAAGAGAAAAATAGAATAATGAAGTCAAGAGAAGAAAGTAGAGTATTTCAAAAAGCAGTGCTCAGACTGTGTTAGTGTTGCTTGGAAGAATGGAGAGAGAATCCAAAAATCAATGTATTTATTACATTATATCACTAGAATAAAGGATAAAAACCACATGATCATTTCAACAGACATGGAAGAAAAATATGACAAAGTTCAACATATCTTAATGATAAAAACACTCAACAAACTAGGACAAGGATGTAACTTACTCAACATGATAAAGGACTTCTGTGGAAAACCCACAATCCACATCCTACCTAATGGTGAAAGACAAGCAAGATTGCAGGATACAAGAATAATATATGAAAATTAACTGTATTTCTAAACTGAAGCAATAAACAATCCAAAATGAAATTAAAAAAAAAGATTCCATTTCTAATAGTATCAAAAAGATAAACTACTTTGGGATAAATTTAACAAAAGAAGTCAAAAATTTATAATCTGAAAATTATAAAACATTGTTGAAGGAAAATAAAGAAGACCTAAGTAAGTATAAATACATCTCATGTTCATGAGTTGGAATACTTACTATGGTCAAGACATCAATACTTCTCAAATCAATATACAAAATCAGTGCAATCGCTATTAAAATTCCAGTTGGCTTCTTTGCAGAAATTGTCAAGCTGATCCTGACACTCACATGGAAATTTGAAAACAATCTTGAAAAAGCAAAACAAAGTTGGGGGACTCACACTTCTTGATTTAAAAACTTGCTACAAGCTATAGTAATCAAGACAGTGTAGTACTGGCATAAGGACTGACATTTAACCCAATGGAATAGAATTGAGAATCTGGAAATAAGCTTTCACATTATAGACAATTGATGTTTGAAAAGGGTGCCAAGATAATTCAATGGGGAGAAGGAATAGTCTTTTGACAAATGGTGTGGGGACAACTGGGTACTCACAGGCAAAAGAATGAAATTGGACCCCTACTCGCCCATATACAAAAATTAATTCAAAATGTGTCTAAGGCCAAAATGTAAGAGATAAAACTTTAAAACTCTTAGAAGAAAACATAAATCTTTGTGACCCTGGATTTGATGTTTTCAGAACTATGACAGCAAAAGCACATTCAACAAGAGAAAAAGAGATAAATTAGACTTCATCAAAATTAAACACTCTTGTACAGCAAAGGACACTATCAGAAAGTGAAAAGATAACCTATATAATGTGAGAAAATATTTGCAAATCATATGTCTGATAAGGGATGTATGTATAGAATATATAAAGAACTCTTATAATTCAATAATACAAGACAAATAACCCAATTCAAAGTTGAGCCAAGAATATCTTCTTGAAGATATACAAATGGCCAATAAAAATATAAAAAGATGCTCAACATAATTAGCCATCAATGAAATGAAGACATAAGAATTAAGACAGTTGATAACAAGCATTGGTGAAGATGTGGAGAAATTGGGAGCCCTCTTACACTGCTGGTGGGAATGTGAAATGGTTCAGGTGCTTTGGAGGACAGTTTGTTAGTTCCTCAAAAGGTTATTACGTGACTTAGCAATTACACTTCTAGATATAGATCCTAGATAAATGAAAACATATCCATGCAAAAACTTGCATGTGAATGTCCATAGCAGGATTATTCATAAGAGCCAATGAGTGGAAACAACTGATGAACAGATACATAAAATGGTGTGTGTGTGTACTGTTATTTTAATATAACATAGAGTAGTATATATATAATATATATGATGTTATTTGACAATAAAATGGAATTAAGTACTGCTACATATTACAAAGGAATTAATCTTGAAAACATGAGGCTAAGTGAAAGAACCCAGTCAAAAAGACCACATCATATATGATTCTACTTACATAAAATGTCAAGACTAAGCAAGTTTGTAGAGAGAGAAAGTAGATTAGTGTTCACCTAAGGGCTGGGAGGGGAAGGAAAGTGGAGTGACTGCTAATGGGTACAGAGATTTTCTGGGGATGATGAAAATATTCTCGCATCAATTATGATGATGGTTATACAACAGTGAATATACTCAAAACCATTTAATTGTGTACTTTAAATAGGTGAATTGCATATGTGAATTATATCTTAATAAGGCTGTTTTTAAAAAAACAAGATAGAGAATGGATCATCGATTTCACAAAGTGGAAGCCATGGAGTGACCTTGATATGAGATGTTTCAAGACAGTATTAGTGTGGTTTGAAGTGGGAACTACTCTTTGAAAAACTTTTACTTTAAATGGAAGCATGTAGGTACATAAGCCACTTATTTCGTTTTATTATATTTTTTGACTTCTTAATTTTTTATTGTGATAAAAAACATAAAATTTACCACTTAAAGCATTACGTGTACAGCTCAGTAGTGTTACGTGTATTCACATTGTTAGGAAAGGATCTCCAGAACTTTTTCATCTTGAAAATTTTAAACTCTGTACTTATTAACAGGTCCTCTTTTCCTCCTTTCCCAGCCCCTGTTAATCACATTCTAATTTCTGTTTCTATGAATTTGACAATTTGAGATATCTCATGCACATGGAATTGTATGGTATTCATCTTTTTATGACTGGCTGCTTCACTTAACATAATGTTCTTAAACTTCATCATTGTCATAGCATATTGCCAGATTTCATTCCTTTTTAAGGATAATGAATAATATTCCACTGCATAAATACCACATTTTATTTACATATTTATCCATTCATCTGTTTATGGACTTTGGGGCTGTTTCCACCTCTTGGCTGTTGTGACTAATTCTGCAATGAACATGGTTGTGGTTTGAGACCCTCCTTTCAATTCTTTTGGACATATACCCAGAAGTGGGATTGCTGGATTGTAGGGTACTTCTAAAATTTTGCGGATCCTGCATACTGTTTTCCATAGAGCCTGCACCATTTTGCAATCCTACCAGCAGTGCGCAAGGGTTCTAATTTCTCCACATCCTCAACTTTTGTTATTTTGTTAATTTAATTTTTTGATAATAGCCATCCTAATTGGTGTTGGGCAATATCTCATTTTGATTTTGATTTGCATTCCTCTGATGATTAGTGGTGTTGAGCAGCTTTTCATATGCCATCTGTATGTCTTCTTTGGAGGAAATGTCTATTTAAGCCCTTTGTCCATGTTTAAATCAGGTTATTTGATTTTAGTCATTGAGTTGTATGAGTTTGTTACATATTCAGCATATTGACCCATTGTCAGATATATGATTTGTAAGGATTTTCTCCCATTCCGTAGGTTGTCTTTTCACTGTTTCCTTTGATGTACAAATGGTTTTAAGTTCAATGTAGTTTCATTTGTCCTTTTTTTACTTTTGTTGCCTGTGTCTTTGGTGTCATATCCAAGAAATCTTTGCCAAGTCCAATATCATGAAGCTTTCCCCTCCTTGTTTTATAGTTCTAGGTCTTATGTTTAGGTCCTTAATCCATTTGGACTTAATATTTGCATAAGAGTAAGATAAGAGTCTAACTTCATTCTTTTGCATATCCAGTTTGCTCAGAACCATTTGTTGAAGAGATTGTTCTTTTCTCATCGAGTGTTCTTGGCACTCTTGTCAAAGATCATTTGGCCGTATGTGTGAGGGTTTATTTCTGGGCTCTCTATTTTATTCTATTGGTCTGTTTGTCTGTCTACGCCATTAGCACACTGTGGATTATTGTGGCTTTGTAATACATTTTGAATCAGGAAGTTGTGAGGCCTTCAACTTTGTTCTGCTTTAATCAAAATGGTTTGGGTTATTTGGGGTCCCTTGAAATTCCATATGAATTTTAGGGTGAATTTTTCTATTTCTGAAAATTGGCATTGGGATTTTGATAGGGATTGTGTTGAATTTGTAGATTGCTTTGGGTAGTATGGACATTCTTAAAAAATGTTAAAGTCTTCTGATTAATGAACATAAGATATCTTTCCACTTAACTTATTCCTTAATTTCTTTCAGCAGTATTTTGTCATTTTCAGGGTATAACTCTTTCACCTCCTTGGTTAGATTTATTCCTAACTATTTTCTTCTTTTTGATACTATTGTAAATTGGAATATTTTCTTAATTCCCTTTCCATATTGTTCATTGTTAATGTATACAAATGCAAGTGATTTTGGTGGCCATTTATTTATTTATTTATTTAAAGATTTTATTTATTTATTTGACAGAGACAGAGACAGCGAGAGCAGGAACACAAGCAGGGGGAGTGGGAGAGAGAGAAGCAGGCTTCCCGCCGAGCAGGGAGCCCGATGCGGGGCTCGATCCCAGGACTCTGGGATCATGACCTGAGCCGAAGGCAGCCGCTTAACGACTGAGCCACCCAGGCGTACCGGTGGCCATTTATTTTTAAGTAAGTATTTACATTATAAAGAATATTTAGAAACTGGAAAATAAGAAAAGCTTTTAAAAAATAAAAAGAGACATCCACAGTTCCCCAGACAACCAGCCCCAGACAAACAAAAACTTCTTTCTTTTTCTACATGTTTCGAAAATGATTTGTTTATTTAAAGAAGTTATAACCAAACTGATAATTTTGTATCTCGCCCCATTCACTTAACAATGTAGTATAACCATTTCTGTGTTGCTATAATCACCATAACATTTTTAAATTAACTATTGTATTGTAATTTATTTAACCATTTTGGACATTTATCTTGTTTCAAATTTTGCTCAAAATAAATGGCTCTTAGTGAACATTTTGTTAATTAAAATACTTATTTTGTAGCATTTCCTAGGATGGAGTTCCAGAAGCATAATTACTGAGTCAGTGAATAAAAATATTTTTGAGGCTCTCGATGTTTGTTGCCAAACTGTAAGGGCTTTCCAAAAAATTTCAGTAATCTCTACTGTCACCAGCAACATATGGAAGATTCAGTTTTACCGCAGCTTCATTAGCATTAAGAATTTTGTGCATTGTCTATTTTTAAAACACCCTATTTTCAATTTGCATTTCTTCAAGGACTTGTGAGATTAACATTTTCCTGTTTTTCGTATTTGTCTCCTAAATGTGTTTTCTTTTCTGTGAATCGATTTTTCAAGATTTGTACATTTCTCTATTAGAGCATGGTGATATTTCATTTTTATTTGTATGTGTTTGTTATAGAAAAAGGATTAACCTGTTATCAGTCACATTTTGACCAAATATTTTTCTCAGCTCATTGTCTTCATTTTACTTATTTTATTTTAATATCCAGAGGTTATCATTTTTATGTAATTAAATGTGGCAATCTCTATAGTTCTTACACTTGCTTGTAGAAAAGTTTAGAAATCGCTTCCTCCTTCGAATTTGTATTAACTATTCAATTCTGTCTTCCTCCAGTCTTACAGATGCTCTCTAATCCATCTGGAAATGATTTTAGTGTGTGGTATGTAAAGTATTTATTTAAAAAAATATATAGTTTTAGGAAGGCCATCGGTGGTAGGCTAAAAGCTCCTTGAAAACAGGAAGCATGACTTTTTCACTCTGGTTTCCTCCACTTTCCCAGACAGAAGACTCGCTAAACACGGCCTCTGTTTCCTCTGGCTGCAGCAGCCAAGCTACAGTCGGGAAAGATGGGTCCCCCATCCTTCTCTCTGCTCAGAGACACCAAGTGCTTGTCCCCTTGCTGGTATCATGACAGTTCCCCAGGGGCTGCTGCCTTTGTCGTCCCTTGCGGATGTCTACCTTCTCAGAAGCAGGGAAAAGGCTACCCCAGCTGTTAGCCAGCAGCGCCCCCTGGCGCCTCTTTTTATTTTAATTGTTCTGATTTCAATTGTTCATACAACCGTCCACCCTCCCCACTGGTAATTTTTCCTGGAAGACACCTCAAAAGATCTTCTTTCTCAGTCCCGAAGGTAGCCTAACCTACTTGCCCTGATACTCTTTTCAGAGTAAATTTCTTTTCCATTTGAACAAACTCCTCCTCAGTCAAGGAGATGTCATTATTTCCGGGTTGTCTGTTTATCTTTTTGATAGGGAGAGGTGCAGGGATTGTGGGTGGGGGCCAGCTATTAGCCCCAACTTCTTAGCGATCTCTTCCATGAAGTCTCTGAGGCTTTGTACAAACAAAATCCTAGTCTGGCCCTCACCGATACCTGCAGTTGTGAGTTCCAACTATAGGTCTGACTCTGGGATCTCATTGAAGAGTTAAAAAAAAAACAAAACAAAAAAACCTCACCTCTTTAAAATTGAATTTTTATTGCCTAAGGAGGAATCTGTAAAATAAGGAGGTGGAGAGGATACAAATAAATGAAATCTAAAAGTAGTTCTCAAATCCAAATAAAGCTAATACTGGATAACACACCTGTTAGAAAAATAAACTGTTGAATGTCTCTCCATCATTTTCTCTCTTACACCCTAGTCAAGGTGCTAAGGAGTGCCAGAATGGCCAAAATATGGACAGCAGGAAACCCAGAAGACAGATCCTGAACAATCCATGAATTACATACTCAAGCCTGAATTAAGTAGACTCTATCACAGAGACAGAATTGTCCTTGTGATGGGTAATTCTAGCTCAAGTTACTAGCAGGAAATTCTGAAATAATTATGGAAAGATACACTTCAGTAGACAATTAATGAGTTATATGATCTACCTATATATAGTAGACTAGCGTGACCCTGCCATGACATTCGTTTGAGAAATAGGGGAGAAAACAGCTTATTTTCTTATCTTTTTTTCCTAATGGTTTATTCTTCAGATTGTGGCAGAATCACAATTTCTTAAGGACTTCAGTAAAGATTACTCAATGTTTGACAAATGTTTGGTCAGACTGACTGTACAGTGTGTTCTAATATGATTCACTGTTCCTGAAAGGGGGAAAATCTACTTCCAGTTCTGAAGTCAGGGAAATGCTGTAACTTGACTCCTCTGTAAAGGGACTTGCTTCTGGCATTGGCTGCCATTATTCTGTCAAGTTTTTCTCTCCTTTCCCTTTAAATTTCTTCTGGCTCTACTCTATTATTCCATAGACCTTTAGGTTTTCCCTCTTTGTAATTTGATGCCCTATTCAGCAGTGTTCAGGAAGCTGTCTTGCTTTACTTTAGTCTGCTGCTTCTGCTTTCCTTAGCTGAATGGGTGGCTTGTTCCTTCTTTTAAGCTTTTCCCCTTTTGAGGGAGCTGTACTATTTCATCATACTATTATAAAGAAAGTATGGATTTCACATAGTGAGTTGATTAACATATATCAAAGTACCAAAGAGAATATTTAGCTTAGTTACTTTGATTTTTTTTCTTAAAATTCATTTCATAGAAAAAGCACATTAAAGTATTTCCCTATCATCCACCTTTCCCTGAGACACACCCACAGACTTATTTTCTTTTTCTTTCTCAAATTTAGTTTTACTTTTCATCAGTTACACATGAACATCAGTTAAAGAGTCAAACGGCTGCACTGGGATTATTGCTAAATATTTTTAAAAAGGCCTCTAGAATGCCACACCAACTCTTGGAGTCTTGCAACCATTTCCAACTCCCTTTTGCTGTTGGTTTTGGTATGTGTGTCTGGTCCCTGGAAGTAATGTACTTATGTGGACATTTCTTGATTTTTTTCCCCTTAGTTTTAGGAATTACCTATTGACTTCTGTCTTCAGAAGATCAGGATTTAGTTTTTTCCCCACTCCTATCTCCAGTACCTATGATCAAAATTCCCCTCCATTGGTCTTTCCTTCATTGTAATATTGTTTCATACTTTGTCGTTATAACCTTATTTATAACTTTGGTTAGATTGACATACAATATTGCATTATTATTGCTACATAAGGCTATTTTGAATTGAACCATTTGTTATGCCATATTTGCTTTTCTTGTATTGCCCAATTATTTGTGTCCCCTGAAGTTAATTTTTTGTTTCATTTGCTTTGTTTTCTCTGTACTCATCAGTTAACCCCAAACTCTCCTCAGATTATGGAAATGTTCTTTCAGTGTACTCAAACACAGATATTCATTAGTTTCATCTTCTTGAGTCTTCAGATCTACTGTAATCTGCATTACTGCATGATTGATAGCTTGTGATCTTCAGTCACCACCATCTTTGGAGATTCCCTTTGTCTCTCTATTGAGCTGTAACTATTTCTTGGATCCCATATTTTCTTCTTCTTCTCTTTTTTTTTTTTTTTTTTTTTTTTTTTTAGTTTATACTTTTGCTTTAGTGGAATACCTCCTCAAGTAGTTTCCCATGCCTGGAAAGGATTTCAGTCAGATGCATATTCACTCGATAGTTTGGCTGGGTATAGAATTCTAAGTTGGAAATGGTTTTCCCTCAGAAGTTTGGAGGTGGCAGCCTCAATTGCCTTTTAGGACCCTTATCTTTTGTATGTGATTTTTTGTGGGGAGAAGCTTTTAGGACTTTCTCATTGTCCCTACTGTTCTAAAATTTTATGGTAATATGCCTTCATGTAGTTTGTTTTCATTTATTGTCTGGGCAATCAATCCTGCATCTTTTCAGTCTGGAAACTTTTGTTTCTTAAATTGTCAATAATCTTCTCCTGTTTTCCATTTTCTCTTCTTGGAACGTCTATTATTTGGATATTAGACTTTCCAGACTGACCCTCCATTGTCTTGTCTTTCTATTTTTAATGTTTTTCTCTATTTTCTGAAAGATTTACTTATCTTTGTGTATCAATTTTTCTAATGAATTTTTCATTTATGTTATCATTGCTTTAACTTCAAGAGCTCTTTACTATTTTCCAGGTTTTTTTTTAAATAAAACCCTATTTTTTTCATGTTGCCAATAGCTCCCTTTATATATATGTCTTTGAGGATAGTTAAGGGTTTTTGATCTTACTCTTTCATATTCAAGACTTTCTTTAAAAATAAGCTGAGCTTCAAAAAAAAAAAAAAAATAAGCTGAACTATCTGCTCCTATTTAATAGTAGGGTACCAAAAACCTGACTGGTAACTCTGTACATGTGGATGGACCATTAAGAATGAAAGCCTCACTGTAGGTTATTCTGGCTGTTTTACTGGGGAACCTCCACTGTTGGATTATTCACATTTCTTGGACTATTCATATTTCTTTGCCTACAGAGTATTAGCTCAGTTGCCAGATTCTGTGAACTTAAACAACCAATGCTAAGACCTTTGGGCATTCTATGCTACAACTCAGGTTGTATCTCAGTTTCCTCTACTGCTGGCTCAGGATCAAGCATTCTGGGGCATACTGAACTTGTCAGCTTCCAAGATTTTATTTCTATAATTTGCTCTCTCATTCTCTTTGTCCTTATGAATTAATTCTTTAAAAAATTCATCGACTGTCAATATGGAGCTCTAGGAGGCAGAAGAGAGAGATAAATGAGTATGTTTTGCCCTTTATCATTCATTGGAAGTTCCAAAATTTCCAGGATGGTCAGGCAATTTTAAATTTTGGAAATGT